TTTTAAAGCTTCTGTTACTCTTGCAAATAAAACATTAACTGAGAAATAAAACTGTTTTTCTTGAAAAGCGCAATGATACTGTTGTTCAGATGGTCGAGTATTATTTTGATAAAGGGTCGACGGTAATTGCACCAAAACTTGTTGATGAACATCCATCGCAAGAGATGAGCAGGCGAGACAAAGAATTCTACGTCAAAGGAATCCTCACAGCAATTAAACCCGCTAACAAGGTCTAGAATTATAAACTTGGTTTTCAAACTGAAATGTTTAGTCTAGCTAGCAACGATGACCCTACAGTATTCACCTCATCGGTATTACTGATTAACTGTATACAGTTAAAGTTAATCACCTTATAAATGCTGTTTGCAATTTATTCAATAACATAGGCAAAAATTTCAAAATTTCTTATCTAGGTTCTCTATATGACATTTCCAATACGTAGAGAAAGTGGAGTTTACGAAATGATTGAAGCTTGGAGAGCTCAGCATAGTGAACACAAAACGCCAACCAAAGGTGGCATTCGATTTTCGGAAAATGTTTCAGAAGATGAAGTATGTGTCGTTTTGCTACTTTTGTTTTTAAATTTTTAATTGTTTTTCAATTTAACATTAGAAATTATTTTGGAAACCAGAATGATTGAAAATTAACTTTCTGAAGCTGGCGTTGAACCAATGTACTATTTTTTGGAAAATCTTATTGGTTTATCGATGTACATTCTGATTCTGTTGTTAAACCTTTCCTCAGTTTAATATTCTTTACTATAATTGAATTGCTGTCTTAGAAGTCTAATAGATTTTCTGTGTAGGTCAAGGCGTTATCTGCTTTGATGACATACAAGTGCGCAGTAGTTAATGTACCATTTGGTGGAGCTAAAGGTGGCATAAAAATTGACCCCCGAAAATACTCAGAATATGAGCTGGAAAAAATTACTCGAAGAGTGACACTGGAACTGGGTAAGAAAGGTTTTCTGGGGCCCGCAGTTGATGTACCAGCTCCTGATATGGGCAGCGGAGAACGAGAAATGGCTTGGATGGCAAACACTTACGCAGAAACAATTGGTCATACAGATAAGGAGGCCTATGCATGTGTAACTGGGAAACCACTGGTGGCTGGAGGTCTGTTGATTAACCTGTTTTGTATATATCTGTAAATCTATGAAAATTTTTGTGGTAATGATTTCGTTTAAACAATCTGCCAATAAAATTTTTTATCTCCTAATATGTTAAGGTCTTTTAAACTTTGAAAAGTGTGAACCATTTTTTAATATAGTTTTTTTTTGTGAACACTAAAATGGCGACTTTGATGAAACTACAGTATCTGATTAAATGTTTTAGGTATTCGCGGACGAACACCTGCAACTGGTCGCGGTGTATGGAGAGGACTAGAAGCATTTTTGAATCACAAAGAATACATGGATAGAATTGGCCTAAAACCAGGACTGGAGGGCAAAACTTTTATTTTACAGGTCTAATTCTGTGCATTGATCAAAGTTTTTGAGTCGTTTTCTACCAAACTGATTCGTTCTGATGACCATTCATCTTTTTTTCGCTCTGTTAACAGAGAAACAAACTAAATTTGCTGAAGTGAAAAGATCCTTTTGACATGTAAAACGTTAATTTAGTTGCTTTTCCTAGCAATCAATAACCAAACAGCAACGTTCTGAAGAACAGTTTAAATTTAGGGTTTTGGTAACGTCGGTACTTATACAGCTCATTTTTTAATAGAGGGAGGAGCTAAATGTATTGGAATTCAAGAATGGAACTGTGCAATTGTTAATCCAAACGGAATAGACACAAAGAAACTTGACGAATACAGATGCCAAACTAAA